CTGCAAAAAAGTGCAAAAATAAAACAACAGTCTCATGAAATGGATGTTCATAATCTTTGTGACTAATACAGATTTATTATACCTCTCCATGCTTCCATCGATGGCCGACCGAATGACTTCGGAACACTGCATACTTCTGCAGGCAGTAGCAACTACTGATTAGCGTTAATAAACCACGACTAACTAAGACCAAAATCATACAACCTACCCACTAACGAAGCATCAGGGTCGCCCAGACAGGCAACGTCATCAGCATTTCTGGGAATGGCTCCCAAGACTTGCATATCACTGTCTCCTGTCCAAACAAAAAGCGTTCACGCACTTCTTGACCATCACTTCGAACTGTGATGAAACCAGTCATCAAAAAATACCTCTGCTTATCATTGTTTCGTGTTCTTGCACTTCGACATCCTTCAGCCTTACCATAATCTTGACCCTCTATTCCTGAAGAACACGAAACAATGACATATGGCTGATCTTGAAGCAACCACTACCAAAAAAACTGATGAATTGCATGAACCAAGGGGGAATACATGGACGACACATATAGTATACCTTAAATCTGGTGTTTGAGAAAGCACACTCAATACAAGGAATAGACTATTCCTAAAGAATCATTATCAGAGAAGATATTTGTTACCTGAACCGAAATAAAGAAAGGAACGTCTCTTCATCCATGGAAACCATCTTCGGTAGCTGAGGATGCTCATTAATAAGTATTACTCACTATCTGCTTCATACCAGCTTGGCAACGAAGGGAAGCAAGTGAGGGCACACAATGTACAACACAAACATATTTGGAGGTTAGGAGTTGGCGAGATAATTCAAATGTTTCACATGAGGTAAATAAAAAAGAATGGCTCAGCACACTGACGACGAAGCCCAACACAAGGCAGCGTATAGTTACGGCTTGCACGAAGCCAAATGCAACTTCTAAATTGGTTACCCAAGCCATGAGTCCATTCTGAACAGTAAATTGAGTGAGGAGCCAGCTTAACTTAACTGGAAGAGATTGAATAGTTTTATTGATATATAAACAGCTTGTTTTCTCTGTTTCCAACCAAATATGAAGCTTGCTTTGTCATAAAATTAAGTAGATGAAAATCAAATCTCAAATACATAAAAGATATATGTGTATATACATTTTAATTTTAATTAAAGTTAATATATATTTTCAAAATAAAGAGGATATTTCTATAATTTTGATATAAAACATGGGAGGGTTATTAGTGTATTTTACTCTTATGATGACGACGACGACAGCAAGTGGAACTCCTTTTCCTCTTGTTTGACCCCACCATAGGAGCAAGTGTACAAATTAAATTGAAAGGACTATGGAAAACTGCGTTTAAGAATGTGTCCAGATGCCCTCCCCCGGGAGCTAGGATTGTTTTTGGTTGTACTCAGAAAATTAAAGTTTAATGCAGAGATTCTATAGATCCATACGTGTTTGGAGTTAAGAGGAGGGTGTTGATGGTTCTTGATGTGAAGGAAATAACATACATTTAAACTGATAGGCTTTTCCCAATATGATGGTTTTTTTTTTAATTTTCGTTTCTTTTTTACTTCCTTTTGTTGTTGATGATTCAACTTGAAATTTGGAAAAATAAAATGACTCAAAAATGAGACTTAAATTATGAAAACCTCAAAAAGCCACTCGACTAAAGAAAATTTCAGTTTACATAAATAATCAAATGGGGATTTTAAAATTTGCTCAAAGAACCATGTTGCTCTTTTTTTTTCTTTTTCTTTTTTCTTTTTAAATCTCAAGTCATCCTCATGCCGGCCGCCATCAGAATTCAAGTGGGTCGCCACTTACCGAAAAGTTTTGCATGTTAGACTGAAATAAGCATTTTAAACAAAAAATGATATCCAGAAATAATTAAAATGCGGATAAGAGCATATTTTCCCTCACTGTCAATGGCTCCACTATAAAGGATTTTTCTTTCAAAGGGGAATGCTTCTAAACTCTGAGAAACTTCCAATGATACTTTTGGTGCATTTTACACGGCTCAAAATTATGTGTCACCTTCTTGTCTGTAGCACGCCTTTTCTGAAAAGTCTAAAACTTTAGACAAACGCCGAGAAAGATTTCTAATTACATCATATTATCAATCAGTTATTGGTAAGATATAACTATCCCCACCACAGAAATATGAAATCAATATTTTTATTTTGCTATTTTAATTAATATATAGTACCAAACATGATATATGTTCATACTAAGATCAAATATTTTTCATCATTTCCGTCCACTTCAGCGAAACAAAGTGGGGAGAAGTCTCAGGACTCAGGCGCCTCTGAAGTGAAAGTCCTAGCGCTATTCTTCGGTCTACCGCCGGTGGGTGTCCCAGCCTCAGTCCATCACTGCCGTGGGTAAGAAGGTATTTCTTCTTAATATCTCAAGACAATTATAGATTAAGAATGTAAATGCAGTGTAATTGCATGCGTTAGAAGAGAGTTGGAGACATAAATTAGATTTTGGTTGTTGAGTTGGGTAAGAAAGTATTAGTATGAGCACTACAAAAAAATTAACTTTTAGCGACGACCATAAAAGTTGTTACTAAAAGTTTTTAGCAGTGACAACGTTGGCATAGCAATTGTGGCTGGCAACATATTAAGTTGCCGCTGAAAAACAATGTTGCTGCCTAACAAACTCATTTATTTTTATATATTTTGATATCTTTTTTATGGCTTTTTGTCAGCTTAATTAGTCTTTTTTTTCTATTGTTTGATTATTAATTGATTTAGTATGTTGTTTTGAATTATTATTTTATAGGGGCAAAATTGTCATATTTTGGTCTAATTGTGATTAATTGATTTTTAAGGACAATTAATGCAATCTTATTTTTTATTTTTTTATCGCAGGTTTTGGGAGAATTAAACATAAAAATGGAAAAAAAAAAAAAGGGAAAGAAAATCGGAACTTTAAATATGAAAAGAAATAGTGTTCTGGCCCGATCATTATAATCAAAGACTTCAAAATCAAATAAAAACTACTTACAGTAAGGTCAAATAAAAAGAATTCTGAAATAAAACTTGTAAGTAGAAGAAAAACGCGTCATGAACCTGACAAGTGACCATTTAAAGTTCGAAACTGAAAAATGGACAGGTGGGAAGAGGGGAAAATGTTACCTGTGATGAGGCTTGCATAACTTTCACATACCAAGTGAAAAGCATGTCGTAATACTTACCAAAAAAAATACTAAGCTAAGAATGCAGTAATGATAGAAGCTAGCCTAAGCCATGCCTCAAAGGAGCCTAAATGCTTGCTAAAGTTCCTAACAAATCCAAAGAACCGCAATTTAACAAATTAAGGATTGTAAAGCATGGAAGAATTATTTCTGTAATTTTCTGGTTAACTCCTAAAGCTATTGTTTATATATTTTGTTTTTTATATTCAAAGAAGAAATTGTGGATTAAGGAAAAGAATTGATTGTGACGGTGATACTTGATACTATATGGTATGGATCTTACCTTAGAGAAGAAATTTCTGGTACCTTCCTTGCCTATTTAGTAATAGGAGTTGAGAAACCGAATAAAAGATGGCTCACAACTCACAAGCCCGCTCACTGTAATGGTTCAACTTAAATAAATCACAGCAAGTATCAAATGATTCGGTCTAGGAATAATAATCAACAAATCAATTCCTCTACCAATGTCCAACTCGGTCCATATCAAATTAACTGAATCAAATCATGAATAACAAGCCAATTCGGTCTAGCTAGTATTCAGATGCAGAATCAGTTCCAAATTGGAGGAAGTAATAAGCATCAACTCGAGCAAACACATGATTTATCAATCATTACTCCTAATAGTCTTAATCTCAGCAACTCTAGATAGAAATAATCATTACAATTCTGAAATCTAACATTCAGCCCTACAACTCATCTGATAAAATAGAAGAATTCAGCTTAGAGCAAATGAGAAGAAAAAACTCCCTTCTTGAGGACCAAAGACTCAGGTACATTCACATCTCTAAGCGAACAATTGAAATAGCCATGCATGCTCGGGATCTGTGAAAAACTCCAATCGATCATCAAAGCGACAACCATGGAGAAGACGAAGGTGAAGATGAAAATGGAATCTAAAATCTGGAACTGGCGACGGAGGTAGAGAGACGGAGATTGCGAGGGGATGAGAACAGAGGTTCGTGATAATCAGTGACGGTGGAAACCAAGAAGGTTGAAGTTATCCCCCAATCCCGGACTGAACGGCCAGTGAACAGAAAAATGGAGCTGGTGATCAAAACGCAGCGTCCTAAGTTTATTTCTCCTTTTGCCCTAATTGCCATTTTATTTCTTCCTCATTTTTCTTTAGTCCCGAGCCTGCAAATAGAGTTTCAAAATGGAAAATGCATCATTACTCTTAATTATGAAACTCTGGGGAATATCAGCATATTTATTCACAAATTCCAGAAATTATTTCTTTCCCAATTCCACTTAAAATATTCAATTAAGCTTAATAATACTGATAAAAATCTAAGAAAATGATACAAAAATCCCTGATAAAATGTGAGTTTATCACCAAGTACTATACATGCAAGCCTCTATGCGACAGGCTCGAAGATTTGAGGCTGAGATTTCCGCAGCCATGTTATGCAAAAAGAGGTGACTCAAATATAATTACTTGCATGGCACAATATAATATAGGGATTGATTAATAATGAGCATTAGACCTTGAGAGAATTATTAATATAGGGATTGGTTTTGAAGAAACATCAAGCATACACAATGAACTTACGTAGAAAGGTGTATATAAGTCTGTCTTCCACTGACGAATCCCCTTGTATAGCCAGTGTAACCAGCCATTGCTCCATGAACTACACTTTGAGGAAGAAGCATGCAGTACACATTATCGAAAGCATTGCTTGGAATTGCTCAGATCATGTAGGTTGGATCTGTCGGGTAGAGAAAAAAAGAAAAGGAAGTGCTTAATAATATTCTACCCAATAAACAATGCCATGATATTTTTCTCCTCAACAGAAAATCTGTACAAACCTATATATTTGAGGTTTATGCTCATTGTGGTGTGCTTGGCAAAATGATCCTGTGAGACAAAAGCAGAAAGAAAGTAAAACGGTAAATATTCTTCTGTTGCAACAGATTGGTGAGGATCAAACTGAAGAGCACAGGAAATATGGAAAAAATGGAAAAACCTACAATCGACACCTTAATCCTTTGGGATATCCATAGCCCAGCATCTTGAAGAAGCTTGTTTCCTGAAGCATCCTGCTTCTGCCTTGTTCAGACTATGATTACCTCATAAATCATAGAAGCTCCCTTCTGAGTTCCATCTCCTTCAATTGATGCCCACTCCTAATAATAAGTTCTGGTCAATGCAAAGAAACACAGACCTGATTAATTCCCCGCTGTTGAATACTGTCAACTGTCTTAGTGGATAGTTCCTCCACCGTTCAAGGATATCATTCACATTCTTAGGAGTTAAAGTAACTATGTTGCGAGCATAGAAACCCTTGTACCCTCCCTTCACACCACAACAATTAGATGATAAATATGCTAAAATAACAAGTTACGATCTTTTGAATAACAGAGGACCAAAGAAAAAATACCTCAGACTCAGAACTGAATAACTTTTCATTGAGATGAGACACCGTTGATGTACAAAGTCGCATGAATTTAAACAAAAAAAGGGATAAGGTTCATGCTTTATGGGAATGAATTCAGGGGAAAAGGTCCTATGGCACTGAATTTATAAGAAGTTATAAGCTCACGCTATTCTAAATTACTTGATATTATTGACAGAATTATACATTATACAGATGCAAGAGTGAATTTGTTTCTTATAGTAATGACTTGACTCTTATAATTTTTCCGCCTTAATTTTTCTATCATTTTTTTTTTTTTGAAAAGGAAGAAATAAGTAGTTTGCTTTCTGTGTTTCCAAGCAAACACGAAGTTGCTTTATCATGAACGGGACAAGCATGAGGGCAATCATCAGACAAATTATCAGCCCACTCCGTGTTATATTTACCTTAAGTCCCTCCCGGCCAGGAGGGTTGTTTTTGGTGTAACAATCTCAGAAGAGTTTAATGCAGGGATTCTGTAGATCATCCTTGTGATTGGATTTTAAGAGGAGGGTGTTGGAGGATCTTGATGTGAAGGAAATAACATACACTTGAATCCCTCAAATAGAGAAAAACAGTTTTGTTGCTTTATGATTCCGTGCCACCCATGCCCACACATTTTATTGGCAAAAAAAAAAAAGGGGGGGCCACGCAACTTCCTTTGCCCGGGGAACGCCCACCTCTTAAACAAAGGGGCATATTACACAACATCGTCCATACTTTTTTTTATTCCTATTTGTGCCCCTCCGTCAAGGGTAGATGGATAGGCTTTTCCCAGCATGATGTTTTGTTCTTTCTGTTTTGTTTCCTTCTGTTCTTGACTATTTCACTTGTTGGACATCGGGTCAGGATCGGTCCTTGATAGGTCCTTCCATTGTAATTAGAATATCCACCCATATACATAAAATATATACATTAAATTAGAATTTAATATATTACCGGATATCACAATTGTTGAAAGCATGTTTCTACTTCATTGCTATTATATCTGCCCAAGGCATGGGGAATAATTTTTCTTTTCTCTTCCATTGTGTTCACCACCGTGAGCAACTGAGCATTGCCATTTTTTAAAAAAAGAAATTTCGGCGGTGATATGAATCTTCATATGAAAAACAAAACTCTGTTTGCGTTAAAAAAAAAAAAAACAGCGTAAATATTCTTATGTTTACATCCGCTACGCTAACATGTTTAAAGTATGAAACTTTACTCCTCCCCCCCCCCCCACATGAGACGATGCCTGTGTTTCTCCTTTTCATATATCCATGAGAATATGCGGGGTACATAGGTATATAGTTTGTTTGCCAAAATCATAACTTCGTAATTTTTCTTCACCTTTTCTTTCCGCTACGATCTCTGTAAGCTTCGTATGATGAATATCTTATGCCTCTGGATTTCTGTTTCACGTTTGCTAGAAGCTTGAAATTTTATATCCACGTGGTTTTCGTGCTAGCTGAATGGTCAACTCTGGATTTCTGATGACCTTTAATGTGCCTCAGTCTTTGTATGGCATATGTGTGCGACTGTTTATAAATTACCGAAAATTTCTCTTCACTGTGTTGCTTTCTTTTCCGGGTCATTAGAACTTGAGTTTTTGACCTGTGTGTAATTAAAACAAGCAAATTTAAAGAAAACACGATAAGAAAGATATCTAATACATCAATTATTATTGCCACATACTATGTTTGTTTGAATTTTTTTGAATTAGGTTATAACTCCCCCGGTATCTGACCCCCAAAGGGACCGACTAATCCGGAGTTTGCCTAGAAAGGCGGGGTGAGATGTCGAAACCGAGACCTGGAGGCGAGTGCACACCTTGGGCACCCTTTCTAACCACCAGGCCAAGCGACAGAGCTCGTGTTTGTTTGGATTTTAGTTTGTTGCAATTCCATGAGATATGGTCATCTGAAGAGGAAGGAAGCTTCCCCTCTCCTTATCTGATATTACCTTATGTTTTTAATATAAAAACTAATTTAACATTCAATTTGATGCTAAATATAAAAATCAATTTATTTTGTTTCTCATATTTATCCATTTCTTCCTAAAACAGTCATTGTAATATTTGTACATATTAAATGTTTTATCAAATGACAGTTTTAAGTTTCTAGCTAATACACATTATTAACAAAAGTATTTTAGAAAAAATAACAACTATTTATTACAAATAACTAAACTAATTTTATTAATCTACTTAAATAAGTTAAATAGCTCTAACATTAAGGGCCGAAAGTAGTATACTTTAAATTTCTGTATCTCTGCTCTCCACTGTCTATTTTTGGTACTCTCCTCATTTTGCTTTCTATTTTGGCATTTTAGAAAATCCTTACATACTTAACACCTTTTCACTTAAGATTATCGTGCAATTAAATCAAGACATGTGAATGTTCCATATAATATTTATTCTAAGACAAACTCTCACCATTTAATATCTTAATACATAATATTTCAAAATCCACTTAAGTTTCCTGCTTTTGTTTCTTGTTGTTTTGGGTCTTCATGTCATTAGGTTTGTTGTCTTCTGTGTCCTAACATTTCATTTTCTTTTTGTTAATTTATTTGTTGGATTTGTTCTAATCTTCAGTTTAGTCTTTGTGCTACAGTGGGTTTTGTTTCTTTATCGTCATATAAAATTTAAAAAAAAAAACACTACTTGTAAAACTACAAAACTTGAAAAATCATTGGGTTAAAGTGTGTCCAGTCATGTTGAATTATTTTTTAAGTGTATTTAACACTCTAAAGTATTTTACTATTTATCCAGCACTCTAAAATATTTTTCTAAATGCATTCAACATTATAAAATATTTTGTAGCACAATTTTACCATTAAAATATTGATTTTTTTTAGGAAGTATTTTTTTCAGGAGCAATTTTAAACTCGCTATTAAATCCATAAAAAGTTCATATTAATGTGCATCAAGCACCGTAAAGTATATTTTTCCATATTTTTAGAATATTAGATGCACCTTGAAAAATATTTTAGGGTATTGAATAAACTACAAAATGCTTTAGAATATGACATGCTATTTTATACTGCTAATATAAAACTGGATTTTCTTCAATTAAGTTTTCTCATTGACAAGAAAAAGGAAGGAAAAAACTTATGTTTGGCCTATGTCATTTTCTATCACTATTAAAGGCTTTTTGTGTACCCTTGAACAATCTCCACCTGTTACAGCGTGGATTTTGACGAAGGCGTTTAATTGGTTGTAATGTTTGCTGATTATTAATGAAATACAGAATTTCTACTTAAAAAAAAAAAAAAGGCAAGCACTCTCCCTCTTTCTTTGTGAAGGTCCATCTTCTAATAAAAAGATGCAAAAATAGAAGAGGAAAGTTGAAAAGAAAAGGCATCGGATATTTTTCATCATTTCCGTTTACTTCAAGGAAACGAAAGTGGGAAGAAAGTTTGAGGGTCCTTCTTTCATTCTGAGCTATCGTGGGGTTTGGGAGGTGAGAAAATGAAGGGCCTGCTTTTTATCATGTTTAAAATAACATTTTATGTAAGTCAAGGTAAAACTCCTTTCATATATATTCTATAAATTATAATTGAAAAATTATTTATAAGTCAGTCCAGACAATCCAGACACTTGAAATAGGAGGAAACTTTGGTCAATTTACTTGCCCAAGTGATCGAAGGAGCAAGATGATCTGAACAGGCATTTTTGTTATATTTTTTTTTAAATGTTACAAGAGAAATAATACGGATTTTAAAATTTGGAGTTGATTTCCTTTGGTTTAAATTGAAGTTAGAAAGCTTAGCAAATATATCAACGTTCGAAAATTGATGGACGCTGAGCACAAGTTGTTGCTGGTATGAAAGAAATTATAACTTGAATGAGTGGTTAATTGTGGCCAAGACTAAGTAATATGGGGTAAATCATAACGTATATATTTATTTGATTTTCATGTTATATACTTCTTCGTTTTACATATAAGACTCATTTTGTAAAACTTATTTTTTAGTATAAATTACATCATAAAATAAATCTTATATTCGAGACTAGAATAGTATTGCTAAATAATGGCGAAAGCCACGATATAAGTCAACTAATTGCTTCGTTCTCTTCGTCCATATTTCCCGTCTTGTAAGAAAAAGAAGATGCAAAAAAAGAAAAGAAGAATGAAAATGAAATATCATTTCCGTCTACTTTTCAACGAAACGCAACGAAACGAGGGGGAAATTTCAGGTCCTTTCTCACCGAGCTTTTGTGGGGTTTGGTAAATGAGGAAATGAAATTCTTTTGTAGCTTCATTTATTTTCTCCACTGTTATCATGTGGTTTGTCTGTAATCTGAATTGGTGCCCGAATATTTAGAAATTAAAAAATTAATAAAGTTAGAACTTGCAAGGAATGTGTATTGGTTTTCTAAAATATGCATAGAAAACTATTATATGTTTTAAACACCATTAATCTTAATGGTAATTTTGACTTTATGATAGTTGAAAGTCAAAATATGAAACACCAGGGTTTTTAATTTAAGAAAGATTAGGCAGGTGATGTTACGGGTGTATTTCTGGGATCTTCCTTGAAATTTTCTGAACATTGTGCTTTTTATTTTACTAATCAACATGCCTAACTGTGAGTCAACATGGAAGACTTTTAGCTATTTTTGCTAAGGTAAGCTAAAGCGA